CATACATTCTGCACAGCCAACCGCACAGTCCTCTCCTTTTCTAAAACACCTGTCTGCGTTGGTGTCCTCACTCTTCTTCTATCAAGAACAAATGTCCTTCCCTTCTGTCTGCCTGGAATTTCCCATTGGTTTTCACCCCACAACCCAAAAGTCTAGTGAGTTAGTGAGTAGGGTGTGGGCAGATGCAAAAAGGGCATAGCCTCTGTCTTCGTGTTGTGTTCTTTCAACTGAAGCAGACAGCCTGGCCTATGGCAGATACTGACATAGTTGTTGAGTGAACACAAGTAATCATAATACAATTCGATACACTGCCAGAACAGAAATAAGTGACAAATTGTCTTGGACAAAGGGTTCTGGCCTTAAAAGACCAATGAAGGCTGTAATCTTTATAGAAGCAGATTGTCATATCTCTCTCCCTCAGAGCAGCTAGTGGGTTCAAATCACTGACCTTTCAGTTAGTGCCAGAGTGCTCAACAACTGTGCCACAAAGGTATTACTACCGATTTCAAATATTAGTTTACAGTGTTGGTTCCCAAACTCAGCTGAGTATCAGAATCACTGGGAACTTAAAAAGCATGCAGAATGACTTGGACAACACCTACACCAATTGACACAACATAGACCATAAAGACAATCTTCTGCATCCTATTTTGGTGAGTAGTTCCGAGGTCTTAAAAGCTTGCAAGTGGGTATCTATGATGCAACTATAGGTCTCCCATCCAGAGCAAAGGAGAGTGAAGAAAACCAAAGACTCAAGGGAGCAAGTAGTCCAAAGGAATACACAACCCAGAGACCAGAAAGAACTAGATGGTGCCCAGCTATCCCACTGACCACCCTGAGATTACAACAGAGGGTCCTGAACAGAGTGGGAGAAAAATGTGGATCAAAAATCAAATTCACAAAAAAGACCAGACTTACCAGTCTGACAAAGACTGGAGGAACCCCCAGGCCCAGGGCCCTGAGACAGCCTTCCGACCTGGAACTGGAACCATTCCAGAGACCACCTGTCAGCCACAGAATAGACACCATTAACAAACAGTAACACTCGAGAGGAGTATGCTCCTTAGAACAATCAGTAATGCAAGATCAAAGGATAATATTTTTCTAAAAGCAAAGGCAAGGTAGGTATGAGTAGAAAACCTGGGCAAAGGTGGAAATGGGGAGAGTGCTGGCACGTGACAGGAATGCAACCAACGTTATGCACCTTTCTGTACAAACTGTCAAATGGGGAACTAATTTGCCCTGTAAACTTTCACCTAAAGCACTACACACACACACACACACACATACATATGTATGTTATGTATATGCATGTATGTATATACGTATATGTATCTCTGGTGGCATAGGGCTTAAGTCACTTGACTGCTAACCACAAGGCTGGTGGTTCAAACCCACCAGCTACTCCTCGGAAGGAAGGTTGGGCAACCTACTTCCATAGTGATATCGCCTCGGAAACCCAGGGAGGGTCGCTGTCAGTTGGCCCTGCCTCAAAGCGACTGTGTACAGCACAACGAAACCCTGCCAGGTCCTGCACCAGCCTCACAATCCTCGCTTTGCTTGAACCCATTGTTACAGCCACTGTGTCAATCCATCTCACTGAGTGTCTTCCCCTTTTCTGCTGACCCTCTACCAAGTATGATATCCTTCTCCAGGGATTGCTCCCTTCTGACATGACCAAGTGTGTGTGTATATATATGCATATATATGCAGAATGAGACCACTGCAGGGAATCAGACAATTTTAAAAGTCCAAAGTGATCCTCACAGATAGCCAGACGAGGAAACTATAGATTGGAGGCTTATTCACACAGTACCTGACATATCCCTGAAAATGTAATTCCTCCTGACCTATGAGTTATTGCAAGGATCACAGAAACACACAGAAAGGCACCCTGGGCTTAACCACACATATAAAGATCACATGACATGATGTTCCCCCAACTCCAAGTCAAATCTCCATCACCAGAGCTGCTCTGGAAATGGTAAACGGGTGTTTTCTCAGGCCAGCCATCCAACCCTAACAGCTGGAAGCAAAGGCTCAGGTTTTCTAAGTATTAGGGTAATGCTCAAAATGTTTAAGACTGGACGTGACACAGTGTTGGCAATGGCTGACACAGTTGGAACTGCAGTCTCTTAGATCAGCGTTACTCAAAAGGTAGCTTAGGACACAGTGATATTGGCAACGTGCGGTCCTTCAAACTTCTTTCCCTCCTGTTGTTTCCCGTATTTCCCAACCACAGAAGATGGCTGGACAGCCTGCTCCTTCTCACCTCCCCGTCCCATGATGACTCCAAAAGGAGCCTGCCCAAGGCCAAGGTTGGACTGCTCATCTGCCCTTCAGAGAAACACAGCTCAGGAATGTCATGGCATCAGCTTTCAAGTCTGTGAATTCAAACCTGGAAAGCAGATTAAACCCATTCTATATATAGGGTCCCAGGACTCAGACCCATGGGGGGAAGCTACAGAAATGCCACAGAGCAAATTAGACAAATATGCCTCCCATACTAATCCAAGGTTCTGAAGCACCTTGTTTCCTTAAGAGTCAAACCCATCAATTCTGATTCCAGGAATGGATCTTGACAGATAGTCTCCAACACATGAACAAAAGCATGTACAGGAAGGACTGCTGTTGTCATTCCAACAGCAAAAAATGCTGGGAATTTTCTAAATGCCCCCCAAGGGATGACAGGTGCCATGACTACCATAAGAGCCAACCAACCCAAAACCAAACTCACCGCCCTCGAGTTGGGACCAACTCATAGCGACCCCTCCTTGGGTTTCTGAGGTGGTATCACTATGGCAGTAGATTGTCCAACCAACCTTCCTTCCGAGGAGTGGTTGGTGGGTTTGAACCACCAGCCTTCTGGTTAGCAGTCAAGTGCCTTAGGCACTACGCCACCAGAGCTCCCATAAGAACCAAAGGGGCCCCTAAAGCTAAAGAGGTGGCAGAGCAGGGATACAGAAACTTCAGACAACCTTCAAGTCGTACATTTTAATTCACAATTTTCACTGATAAAAAGGTTTGATTACAAAAAAGGATGTTCTCTATACAAAATAAGGATTTAATCTCTTTTCATTCACGGAGAGATTCCACTGTTGTGTCTTACGTCGCCAAGTCAAAACTCAAAGAGCTGCTCCCTTGAAAGGACTCCAAACATGAAAAATCCAGATAGGATCGATCAAATGATCAGCCTTCTAGGCGTGTGGAAGAGGACAAATGTAACGAACATTTTGCCTTAAACTGAAGATCCTAAATATTTATAAACCTTTACAAACTCCAGGCAGACCTCAGAGATACTGTACGTTCAGTCCAGACCACCTTAACAAACCAAGAATTGCAATTAAAGCAAATCGCCCGTTTTTTGCTTTCCTGGTGCATGTGAACGTTGACACCGTACCACAGTCTGTACAGTGTGCAACAACATGATGAAAAGGTGTGAAATATTGTGAGAATGACCACAATGTGGTAGAGGCACAAAGTGAGCACCTGCTGTTGGAAAAGGTGCCGACAGACCTGCTTAATGCAGGGTTGCCACAAACCTTCAATGTTCTTTTTTTAAAAAAAGACTGCTGGCATGCTCCCGGCTGACACGGCAGTGTGCCAACACCACCAGCTCACTTACCATTAGGAACCTCTACACAGACAGCAGGTTTCCACTCCTGTACAGCATGCACGTGCAACATAGCAGGAATAATGGCCTCCAGTATTTTACAAACGCATTTTATTGTGGTCACAAGTCAACAGCAGAACATAGACAGTTAAGGTTCAGACTCTCCCTGCCTACCATTTTATATCATAAATTACAAATGAAAAGGAGATACACACAAACTTTATTAAAAACAAGGCGCTGTTTCCCAAGCCCCACTTTCTAGCATAACACATCACACGTTTAAGAGTGGGGGAGGAAGAGCCACAGCGTCAGAGCACATTTCTGGCACAGACGCTGGTCAACATGTTCAGAGCCTTGTTGGGTGACTCCAAGTACGGCAACTGCTGAACACTGGCCCTAGCAGTCAGCTTACACAGCACAAACCACAAACCTGAGCAGAACACGGCAGCCTTCAAAACCCTTTATTTGGTGATGGGCCTAGCTCCCACTTCTACAAAAGGAGGAGTGGGGCAGTCAGCTGGTCTGGTTCACAGAGCTGGTATTCATGCCTCAAAACAATAAAGACCCTCAGAGCCAAATCATTCCATTACCACCCCAAGTTCTTCATCATTGACTTAGCTGTGCTTCTGTTAGCTTTCAAACCATCTACTTACACAGGAACTACATCCACCACACAATTAACTGATACACTTGGTGAAAAAAAAAGACAATTCAAACAGGGCAAACAGCTCTCTCTACTCAATGAGCACGTGTCCAGACTGAGAGTGAAACGGAATCAATGCCCGGGTGCCTCTGGGAAAGCATCTCCCCGTGGCTACGTGCTCCAGGCACACACCACACCAGTGCACCCTACACCCATCTGTGCCACAAGCCTCAAGATGCAACTCCACAAGAGCTCTGATCACTTAGGGGGAAAAATGCCCAGGGACAAACTGCATGCCTCTTCAATGCCAATATGTGACCCTCGCTGACCCGGTAGTGCTTGTTTATGAAACATCTGAAGAAGTGGCATCGGATGTCAGGTCGCAATTCCAACCGCAGAGAAAATTCTTCAGCTACTGCTCCCGTCTTTCCCCTGACTGCCACAGTTCTGCTACCAAAGGGGAAAAAGAACTGTGTGAACAAGTTCTTTGTGACCAAGCCTTGGCAAAAGTCAAGAAATAAAAGCACATGAAAAGGCTAAGCCTGTTATGGGCAACCTCTTCTAGCTGCAAATTTGGGGGCTCGGAAAAACCGGAGGGAGGCATGTGTGGAAGAAAGAGTGAAAAGTCTCTTTGACAAGGGTTTGGTTACTCAACCCCAGATGCCCAGCTCGGGGCCACAGATGAGGGTCTACACAAACCCATGATTCAGACGGGAAGGGAAGATGACAAGACACAAAAAACAGTCAGTTTTGAAATTTGCACAGTTGCTATTGTTCTTCACAGCAGTAAGGACTTCAGTGAGAATCACGGATCTGGAGGAACACTTATATTTTTCTTCAGGATTTAAAAAACGTTGTCTTGTATCGAAAGACTACATTCGGTGTGGGCCAGGTCCAACGATATTAGCTAGAACTCAGCTGTGAAGCACACCCAGCACTGTGAAGAAACGGCATCTGAGCAGAGAGGCTGGCGGCTGGCGGGCAGGCCAAGGCCGCTCCTCACTGGTCCCCAAGCCGGAAGCCCTGGCCCCAGTTGTGTCTCCCACCACCACCATTCTGATCAGCAGCTCGCCTCAGGCTGGCAGGGGGTACACCAAATCCTGAGACCCCTCCTCTCCGGCTGGGCAGCCAGCGGTACCTAGGAAAGAGAAGGACAGACAAATCAAGGGAGAGAGAACCAAGTCACTCCACAGTTATGTACCGTTTACCCCAACTCCCTTTTTGGGTGTTACCAGGGCATCTGTCACACTGAGACCCATTGGCCTGTGACCAGGCAAAGACCACGGACAATGGCTTACTTAAACTTTGCCTTTGTAACAGAGCAATGCTTGATCACAGATGATACTCATTATTCATTTCTTAAAGTCATTAGGCTTCCAGCTAAATTCACAATGAACATTTTCTTTTTCTGATTATAAAAGTAATCCATGCAGAGTAGTATAGAAACAACAATACTACACTCACAACCCCTACAACCAAAAGAATTACTGACAGCATTTTGATACACTTAAGTATAGATCAAACTGGATCGAAAGGCTCAAAATCACTTTTGAAGGGCGAGTCCACGGCCTGTATGCACGAACCGTGCATGGTACTTCCACTGACATCCCAGCCGCGCTCCACGGCCCATCGAGGAAAAGACACTGTCTTGGAGTCTGCAGTATGTTTGTTAGGTTTATTCACAGTCTGCTCTCAAACTGCATTCTCTGCACATTTAAATGATTGGAAAGCTAAGCAGCAGAAAAGTTAGAGACTTTTCTACCTTACAGTGTGATAAATCCAGTCACTGAAGCACTAAGAAAAAACTTAACCCCAAGTCAATACACTTAACTGTCAATGGCTAACCTAAAGGCTGGCAGGTAGAACCCACCCAGAACTGTGGAAGAGAGGCCTGGCATCTGCTCCCATGAAGATTACAACCAGAAAATCATCTGGAGCAGCTGCACAGTGACCCGGGATTCAAGCCCAGGCTGGTGCCCTGGAGCGTGTAAATCCACACTACTTCCTACACTACCTGCTCCGTGATTCAGACGGACATGCAGAGCTGGGCCCTCAGGACGGCAGTTAGTGCCTACAGTCCAGATACCTCCATGCTCCTTCCCAAAAAGGACAATGACAAAAATAACTGTGTGCAGAACAAAAGGCAACATACCTACTTTTTGAAATGGACTGTAGAATACTGACACATCTGAGAATTGCACCCCTCACACCTTCCCTCCTAACCAATACAACTTGGTCATTCCATCTAAAGCCACTGCCAAGCACTGTTTCTCGACACCCACAACTGGTGGTGGTATAGTGGTCTTCCTCCGAAACACATAATGAAATAGAACATTCTTTAAAAGGCGCCACTAGAGCTGTCTTGCTTTGCTGTTTATTGTAAGACAATATGGAAACCATCTCCATTTCTTCAACAGATCGTGAAATTAAATGCAAGTGATTAGTATAAGAAGACACCCAATTACACATAATCAACAAAAATTTATGGTAATTTCAAAGCAGTTACTGCTTTTGTGGGGAGCTACGTTTTGTCACCTGATCTTCATGCACAATTTAACAGAAGGGGTTCCATCAACAGAAAAGGCTCAAGTGGAGGGCAGCCCCGGGGTGCTGATTTTGTCTTGAGGATCTTGTACCCAATTGAGAAATATCTCCAAGTCGTTAGTCAGAATGGCCATGTAAAATAAAATAACTATTGGCTGCCTCTCAAAGCAGACTGATGCATCTGCCTTTGACCTGATAAACCTAGAGCAGAAATCCACGCCTGCGGTGACCGACCATGTCCTGTGATAACCATCAAGCAGACTGGTCATTTGTTTTTCTAGCCTGAAGGCTCAGGAGAGAAGCCAGTTTCTCTTATGCTCTTCAAGAAAAAAAACACACAATCCTTCTGTTTATATATTATCATTTCACAATAGAATAAAGTCGTTCAAAGCCCACCTCTAACCTTAAGAGCTGAGAAGGAAACCTGGAGTCCACTCGGTTTCATGGCCCTCACTGACTCCTAGAAGGATGGAACTGCAAGCATGCATAAGAGGAAGATGGGACGGGAACGGCTTTTGTTTTCAAGCTTCTCAGTGCAAGCTATGACTGCATGTCCTCGACCTGAGATTCAGTGTGACTGGCAGGCAGGCTGTGACACCCAGACGGTGACTTCCCTGGTCCCTTTCAGAGTCTCTGCTTTGCCTACATGGCTGTGTGTCAGCCGTGCTCCTCAGCCTGTCAGTTCCCCTTCCCAGAACGTGGCTGCGAGCTCTACATCCCAAGTCCCCACTAGTGTGCGCGCAGCAGACAGTCTGAGGCAGGTGTCGCCGTCCCTCCAACTTGATTTACAAACTACGGTGCAGAGGTTTCAATTTCCCAGTATCAAAACTGGTAAGAGAGAGAAATGGGATGCAAACCCAGGTGCGTCTCAAAACCAAAGCTGTGCCCTCAGCCTCCTCACGCTAGTGAGCCCGAAGCAGGAAGGAACAAGGCCACGTTTCTGGGTATCCAGACTATACAAGCTTCTCATCTTGACTTGGAAAATTTCTATAAACTGCTCTATTCTATACTGTATAACATTTCATATAAAAGTGGTTAAGACTGCTAGCCAATTAGCTAACTCCCCCCCCCCTTGGTGACCCCTGTGGGTGAAAGTGACACTCCAGGAGAATGGACCCTATTATCCTGTTGCCCTGGCCACCCCGCGCCCACTGCTGTGCACCCAGAGCTGTGTGCCAGTGTCCCAGCACGTAGGATGCCCCCACTCAGTCATCAGGGGCCATGCCTTTGATGCCTGGCCTCCTTGTGACTGTGTGACCAGAGGAAGCCATTTGCCAGCTCACATTTTGCCAGCAGTCAAGGAGATGCAGGGTTCCCCTGCTACCTGAAAGTAGAGCTTGCCATGGAAGCTTCCGTAAGCTGCAATGGCATAAAGCCAAGAAACAGTTACCCTTAATTTACATGGGACACATTTTTAAGCCTTCCCAGGAAAAAAAAAAATATATATCCTACCAAATAACACAGAAAATTTAAAATAACACTAACACCCAGTGTTCACAGACACAGTTCAAAGCTATGGCAGCCTAATATCAAGATGCGGAGTGTAGTTCCCAGGAAGGAGCTTGGCAACACCATGCTTGCTGCGTGTAGGGTGCGCCGCCTCTTTAATGGCTCGCTGAGAAACACACGCTGAAAGCTAGCTTCACTTTTTACCTTTTCTCCTGAAAGCAAAAATCCTCTTCATATTTTTTTCCTTTTAGCAAAAACAAGTACAATGTAGGTATTTTGTGAAGCAAAATGGTGTAAAGTGAACTTTCAAAAAGCAGGGGATACCTGTAAGTCCGACCTCACGTGAAGCCCTTTATGAGAACACATCAGAACGCATGTAGTAAAATGATTTCTAAAGGAGAGAAGAAAACTGCTTACAAAAACTGAGGTGTGGATAGAAAATTCCTTCCTCCCAAGTCCATTGGGTATCTGAACATTAAGAAGAAATAAAGATGTCCAACAAGATTTCCGATTAGTTCATTGATTACCCTGCGAACAGAGAAGCCAGTTAGTTTACAGACATTCACGCAGTCAACTGCGGCAGTCCATTCTCACGAATGGCAAGGGAAGAAACCCGTCACTGCAGCCGGGGAGCACATCTGCGTGTCTGTGACAGCGCCTCAGTGAGCCCGTCTGTGAGGTGAGCACAGCAGCACTCGGGGAGCGGGGAGGCAGTCCTGCTCACCCCACCCGGCCGGCTCCTCGAGGCCGGCAGCCCCTCTCTGGCATCTCTTCAAGTCCCAGCATGTCCCAAACACTGCTTTGCTAACTTCCTGCCTCGAGAGTTGGAGAAGCTGCAGCGAAGCTCCGGGGCGCCCTCAGGCATCACCACTGTATTTGAAATTGTAGGCAAATCTGAGGGCTGGCCAGAAAGCAGCACGGAAGGAGGGAAAGGAAGGACAAGAAATGCCAGGCCATCCACCCTACGGCCGTTAGCACTTCTCTCCTGCTGCTTGTATCCTTGGCTGTAAGACACCGGAGCTCACTCAGGAAAGCTGATCATCACCTTATAATTCTAAAATAAACACTGTCTTCAGTTTACAGCTCTAGTGGTACAGTGGTTAAAACATTCAGCTGCTAACCAAAAGGATGGTGGTTCAAACTCACCAGCTGCTCCATAGGAGAAAGATGAGGTGGTCTGCTTCCATAGGGATTTACAGCCTTGGAAACCCTATGGGGCAGTTCTACTCTGCCCTATGGGTCACTATGAATCAGAACCAACTCGATGTGAGCAGATTTGGGCTTCAGTTTTCCTGTGGCTCCCACACAGGTCACCTCCAGGTTTTATGCACCCAATTTTACCACTGAGTATTCACCTCTGTCTTTGCCTACAACATGGTTCCTGTCAAGGATCTATCACCAAGTATAGCTACTTGTGGTTTTACCAAAGCTCAGAGCTTAGTCCACTCTCAACAGAGCCTGTTTGCAATTCATTCCCTTCTCCTATCAATACACAATCAAGGTCAGACCACCCAGAGCAAATATGTCATTATCAAGAAGTAGGACTATTAGAATCTATTAAAATATTACAAGTAGTCTATAGAGTAAGAATGGGAGTTCTCAGAATAGGTGCATCTCAATACCCTCTCTTTAAAATTCTAGTGGGCGGCATTAAAGGTCTTCCTTAATTCTACACCAAAAGCCTGGAAATGTGACCCTGCTTGGCCAAAACACTTGTAATAGGAAACCGCATCCCATCTGAGAATCTGCATTTGGTGACTGGGGAGCAGGTTTCAGGCATTTTGGAAACACCTCAAGAATAAGAGACATAAGGAATGGCAGGGCAAGTTAGCAGGGAGTCAGCTCAGCCGGGAATCGGGGTCTATGTTTACTTCATCTAGACAGTGAGTCCAGAAATAAATACTGATTGAAAAACACATACATGAGAGCTTACTGTGTCTAGGAATAAAAACTCACAAAACCACCACCATTCAGTGCTAAACATGCACAAAACCCTACAATTTCATCCATTATGTCAAGCTGGAGTTACTCATAAGCGTAAGGTTCCAATATAAATATTGAGATCCTTTAAAGTTTTACAAAGATTAGAGAAAAAATATAAATATTCATAGAAGTATTCCAAGGACCAGTTTTCAATCAAAAAAATCTAACGCTACTTACGAGCCTCCAATGATATAGTTGAATCCAAGGATAACCCAGGGTAAATAACAGGCCTAAGAAAGAACACACACACACAAATATGAACGGCCATTGCCAGAGAGGATACAGTTGCTAGGGGTGGAACAGGTAGGTAAACAGTGACGACACTTTTTATGACTCTCTGGAAGAAGACTGCAAAATTTCTCAGAACAATTTAGCATCATTTCATTCCTACTGTACTTAAAACTTCCTATCACAAATTATACATATTTGTCTGTCCGTAACTGGAGGAACTGAGTACTACTATGCACATAGATCAGATGCAATGCACACCTGTTGAATTAATATTAGTAAAGAAACACAAAAAGAGTTAAAAATGGCCAGTGACAGAATTATATGAGACTGCAACTAGCAAACTGTTACAACTGAGCTAAAAATACCCCACGTTCTTCAGTTCTTTTACATGTATCACAAAATTACTCTGCCTTTTAATCTCATTGCACACAGATGTCTTACACTAATACTTTCCCATATATGACAGATCTCCAGAGGAATTCAACCTGTGAGTCCCTTACATACCAAGAAGTAGCGGAGTTGCAAGGGACGTCACAAACGAGTAGACAGAGTATTATACACAAATTACTGTAAGATGAAATATGTTCAATACTGGGACAGGAACATAAAGTACTGCAGAAGCCCAAAGGCGAGGCTAATCCCAGACAGAAGACTCAGGAACTCTGTTCAGTCCCCACTCACATCCGGAACAGCAAGGATTCACATGAAGAAGAGATTCCAAAAAACACCCCAGGTGGAAAAGTGTGAAGAAGGTTCAGAGGGAAGTGTTTTGGGGCAAAAAAAAAAAATATTTCAGTGGAAATGTAAAGTAATAACAGGGACTGATAAAAACAGACTTTAAAGGGGAGTTCCCTGAAGTACCTCTCCTCCTCTCTCTGTAACACACACAGGAGAGATCACTCAGGGACGTACGCTGGGAGGGCCTGATGACAGAGGGAGCGGTCAAGCACAGTCAGCACATGACTCAGGCTTGGCTCAAGAAACACAGCCGAGGAGGAGAGAGGAAGGGGATGGCCTAAGGTACTGCTCTGCAGTGACCTCTTCTGGGCATGTGAGACAGTGCACCTCTGGGCTGAAGAGAGGGATCTGGGCACTGACAAACGAAAAGGACACTTTCCAAACTAGGATAAAGTACCTTAAATCGTGTTCCAAACCAAAATGATACAATCATGTCTCTGTTCAGCTGGGCCCAGACATACAGGACTGACATGATCAGAGGAATCATCAGCAGCTGCAAAAGACAGCAAGAGGTGAGAAGACGTGACGCCCCGCAGCTCTGCCTCTCCCCTCCTCCCGCGCAGCCAGCTATCCAGAAAGCACAAGGAAGTCAACTGGTCGGAACCATCACGGGTCCTCCAGGTAACTGACTACACAATGAATGCTACAGAAGCCTGGAACAAAAAACACATGACATTACTACAAACGGATTCAGAAATATCAGGGGCAAGTGCTGTGACTTGCAAAAGTAGGCAAGAGAGCACTACTTATACTCTAATGTCAATTTTCAAAAAATACCTACCCAGACACAGGCACAGAAAATACCGGAAAAATCAATATAATGATGATAAAAAACTTCGTAATAAGCCAGAAATGAGAAAGAAGCCAGGAGGGTTTACGTAACTCACCTAAGATCTTCAAAGGCTTTAGCTGACTTTCTCATGTAAGGTAGTAAAGCAAAAACCAAAAAACCAAACCAAACTCACTGCTGTTCAGTCGGAGCCGACTTATAGCGACCCCTTCTTGGGTTTCTGAGGCAGTATCACTATGGAAGTAGATTGCCCAAACTTCCTTCCAAGGAATGGCTGGTGGGTTTGAAGCCACCAGCCTTGTGGTTAGCTGTCAAATGCCTTAGGCACGGCTATAATTCTATTCTTTCAAAATACCACATTTACAAGTTTAAATGTAATTTAAACTTCCGCTAAAGGCCCCTAATAGTACATTTGAAACCTCTAAAAGGGTTTCAAGGGACACTTACCTGCATATCCATTGCTAAGCCAGTAATCTTGGTGAGTGAAGTTAAAGATGAGACACAAACAAATTCTGGTCCTAGTCAAGACTCTGATCATCTACTTCTTGCCCCACCTCACACACACACACACACACACTGCTCTGACCACACACACACACACACACTGCTCTGACCATCTACTCCTCGCCCCACCTCATTCATACACACACACACATACACACACACACCCCACAGTTACAAGTTCACTACCTTACATGTTCTGAAGGAAAATACCTTCCTACAGTTCAGGCTGCTTAAGACTTCCATGAGCACAGCGGTGTCTAATAATTGTCACTATGGACATTCTATCTGCACGTAACAGGACAAGGAAATGGCAGAGATCACCCCCTTAGGCTCCATTTGGTCCCCTTTTGCCCTCTTCCCTTGCCACTGTGGTTTAGCATCTCTCTTCAAGTAAAGGATAGAGATGGCTGGACCTCTGAAAGAAAACACGGTTTTGCCCACACACGGGGCTCCGCAGCAGGACTAGTGTCCAAACCATCTTCTCTCTTCCCTCAAAGGAGGGCAGAGTGCGTCCAAAGTGCCAGTTTTCTGGCTCCTGGTCGGGTCTCAAAGGAAGCTCAGCCTGAAGGCAAGTGAGGGCTCAGCAGCTCTGCTAAGCGCTCGAGCCACCGTCCCTTCTGCTGCTTGCTCATCTGCAGGAGTCCTGGTTGGAAGGCTGCTGCCACCAGTGGCTGATACAGAGCACAGACTTCCTGCGGCCTTTCACAGAGCAGGCACTCTACCGAGGGACTGAATCCTCATTGAGGACCTCAAGACAAGGGCAGCAACAAAATCAGAAGAGGGTGCCAGCTCTAAATTAACATTCTGATGAGGAGCACAGATTTCAAAAGCTCTCGTGTGGCACGAAACCTCTTTGTGCTGCAGTCCACAAGCTGTCACACATGAGAACACAGAGAACTCAGCACAAGAAGAGGGAACAGTAATAAAACTCAACCAAATGAGGAACGATCCACAAAGGCAACGTGAGAGAATGTATCAGTCAAGGGCTGCCTGATGTACTGTCGCTTTTATGGAGAGCGTGAATTGTTCTTAATTATTAACTAATGTAAACAAAGATGCAAATGCTGTAACCTGAAATGCTTTACAGAATACCATGTCCCCAAATCTGACAAAACCTGGTTTACTTCTGGTCCAAAATACCAGACTGAAGGATACCACGATGCAGATCCAGTTAAACAGGAGCATGAATAAGTAGTCGGCTGGCCTCCCATCGAAAGCTCCTGGAAACAAAAACAAGCCAAACGTCATGGTTTAAAATTTCAGAACAAAGTAACTTCTATGTAGAGAAACACTTGACAAACTTCCAGAGAAAGCCAAACTAACAACATTTTAAAAACCACTCCTCCTTGGTAAAGCCCTGAACCACAGTCACTCACTGAGTGAGGTCCACTCTGCTCTCCTACTGAATTCCAGTGAGTGAGCATGCTCTGATTACCAAAGGCTACATCAGACCCAGAGGAAGGATGGTCAACTCCACAGCTACTAAGTCCCCAATCCCAAAGGCCATGAGGCCCTCCCCACCCAGCCTGGTGGCCTGTCCTTCCCAGCTCTCCTCTCATAACCTGAGGACACACCTGTGATTACTTAGATAACCCCTATCTCCTTCTGTCAGGGGGAAAACCCTATCTGTCCTGCTTACCATATGCCTCCTCCAATATGACTATGCATGGGAGGCATTGTTGTTATTGTTGTTGTTATGTGCCATCGAGTTGGACCCGACTCATAGCGACCCCGCCTTGGGTTTCCGAGATGGTATCACTACAGAAATAGATTGCCCAACCTTCCATCCAAGAATGGCTGGTGGGTTTGAACTGCCAGCCTTCTGGTTAGCAGTCAAGTGCCTTAAATACTATGCTACCAATAATAACCTAATTATTATTGGACACACACACAACCACTTAGTCCCTCAATGGGGTTACAGACACTGTGTAGCCTCAGTGTCAGGAGATACATTCTAGCAAGGGGAGGTTTTTGGGGATGGGGAGGAGGAGGAGAACCCCACCTTGCCATGGCCTCTGTTACGCCTCATACCACATCTGTGAGGTGGACTAAAAAGAACTATGAGCTCCTTCTTACACATGGAGAAATAAAACAATACGACCACAGTTACATGGCTTGTTGGAAGCAGAGTCAAGTTTAATGGCCAGTTTAATGCGCTTGTCACTACGCCATATACCAGGCTCGACCTTGGTAATGGGCAGTAATCAACAACAGCCCATCTTTCCCTGCTAAGGATGAGTCTCGATGCTTTCAGTTGGAAGACAGTAAGCGGAAAACAGATAAATGAGATGACTGTAAGGCCAGTCTAGATCAAAAAGCTACTCACTCTCTACCCACGATATGCTAAGGAATTTTTAAAAATCCTAGGAAGTGTCAGGAGCTCTGGTAGCGTAGTACCTAAGGCACCTGACTGCTAACCAGAAGGCTGGCGGTTCAAACCCACCCAGCCACTCCTCGGAAGGAAGGCTGGGCAATCTACTTCCATAGTGATACTGCCTCGAAACCCAAGGAGGGGTCGCTATGAGTCGGGTCTGACTCGATGACACATAACAACAAGAAGCGTCAGAACAGCAGAAAGGAATCTATCTATAAGGAAACAGGTTTCAGCAAAAGCCTCTTCCACTTTATTTCTCCATTACCTCAAAGGCACACTTGGGCCACAGTGCTAAATTCCAGGGCGTCACTAGGATGAATCAGAGCTGAAAATCTCACAGAATTTCTGACTTTGAATGAAAGTTGTGCCTCTTTTGATGTGGTTTGGCACTGTGATTTTTAAAGATTCTGTACAGCCAGAAGACTTAAAATACTGTACTCACATCAACTACAGCACTAGATTATTTGCAGGTTTGCAACTGGGAATTATTACAGCCTTCAAGTAGAAATCCGAAATCTCACAGAGGAGCCAAAAGTGCTACATAACAATGTAGCCAGGAAGGGAAATACTTAGGTGGCAGACATTTTAAAATGTCAAAATGTTACTGAGGCTGCTTGGTGGAAAGAGGCCTGGGGGGTCAGGAGACCTGGGTTCCAGTCCGGCTGTGTGAGCTCAAATTGCCTTCTGACCCTTGGGGCATGTTATCAAATTTCTGTACTATTGTCTTGTCTGTGAAATAAAAGGGTTAAACTGAATGATCTCAAAGGTCCATAGCAATATTACTCACAATAGCTAAAAAGTGGAAACAAGCCAAGTGTCCATCAATGATGAGTGGACAATTCATACTGTATGATTCCATTTATATGATCTGTCCAGGACAGGTTAACTTTATAGAGGCAGAAAGTAGATTCATGGTTGCCTAAGGCTGGAGTGACTACAGGTGCGGGATTTCTTTTTGAGGGGATGAAATGTTCTAGAATTGACTGTGGTAATGGCAGCACAAGTCTAAATATACTAAACAACTGAATGGTGCACTTTAAATGAAATTGTGAGGTATGTGAATTATATCTCAATAAAGCTGCTTAAAGAAATGTCTTTTGAAATGGAGAGCCATTTGCTTTTTTTGGGGGAGAATCAGAATGGTTTCCATATACGCTTGTAGAATAACTGTTCAAAATAAACCTTACATTCCAATTTCTTTGCACTTTATTTTTAACAGTTTTTGGTGTCAGAAGCAAGACCCAAAGATCATCACTGAACAACCCATTTTTGGTGAGAAATCAAATATGGTACCAAGCATGGGCCCTTTGTGCCCAACTGTTCCCTCACCACAGCTGGGGAACTTGGTGAATCTCTCCTGGTTTCAAGTTCAACTTCCTTTGTGTTGAACTCTCTGGATTTATATCTGAGCACTTACAGACATCCTTTCCTTGTCTTATCAACTGCAGTTAGTTCTTACTTTCATGATGCACTGGAGGTGCGTACAATAAAACACAGGCCAGAGTCTTTCACCAAAATGGACTCATGAAAAGGACTATGTCAGATACATGGACATGAACTTCTAAGTAGTACTGCTTATCCCACTGGACTGAACCATGATTTCCACAACTCTGTGCAGAAGCTGGTAAGTTTATACTGCTGCTAATACAGAATCACATGCAACAGAACTTAACTACATAGGACTGAGTGAACCCAAAGATTAGGATGGGTTCTGTGGGTGGATATGACTGATGTTTTTAATGTTGTTTTCTGGATGTAAGAAATCATTTTTTCTTTTCTCCAAAGCTAACTATAACTTAGTAATAATTTGATAGACTATTTACACAAAGATGAAACATTTATTATTTCTCTCTCCCTAATCCCTCTGGAATTTGAAAAACTCTTAATTAGAGTTCTTATTTTTTATGGCAACGTAATTGTTTAAGTTCAGGATGAATCTGTCTCCTTTGTTAACAAGGCATAACTGGAAATGTCTATTATATAACAAAGCTTTGACTGGTACGTCATACTTGAGGATGGTGCTCAAAAATTCAAGTATGCCCAGACACTTCTAAGGAACAAACTCACTGAAACTGATTCAAACTGTGTTTGTGTATTTATTCCATCAGGTTACAAATAGTGTTAGATAAGATGACTCTGTTAATGACCTGGACAATGGTACGGCCTCTCTCTGAAAGAGCACAGATAGAGAAAACATACTATTCTTGATTGTTTAGCTGCTTCCCAAGGAAGAATCTGCACTTTGGTCAAAGAAAACCACCGCATCTGCATTAATGACACCGACGTGGAAGTACACTGAGGTACGGTTTTAGCAGAAGTTCGTGCTAGAGGCGTGATGCAGGCGCTCCACCCACATCTTCTTGTGATTGTTTTCATAGTTAGAAAATTTGGGTCTATGGGCCAGACAAGCCTTTCAAATGATCAAGTTCTGCAATGTCCTCATTTTGATTCGTTACATTATCATCACACTACTAAGCTGCTTACAACACGTAAGCCACCACAATACGACAAAATGACAAAACAGATTTGATGCACTGAACACCAATGACCAAAAACCAGACAAATTGTGGGATGACATCAAGAACATCATCCATGAAGAAAGCAAAAGGTCATTAAAAAGACAGGAAAGGAAGAAAATACCAAAATGGATGTTAGAAGAAACTCTGAAACTTGCTCTTCAACAGAGAGCAGCTAAAGCAAATGGAAGAAACGACAAGATAAAAGAGCTGAAAAGAAGATTTCAAAGAGAGCTTGAGAAGACAAAGTCAATTATTATAAGGAAAGGTGCAAAGACCTGGAATTAGAAGAACACGCTTGGCATTTCTCAAGTTGAATTCAAGAACTGAAGAAAACATTTAAGCCTCGAGTTGCAATATTCAAAGATTCTACAGGAAACATATTGAATGATGCAGGAAACATCAAAAGAAGATGGAAGGAATACACAGAGTCACTATACCAAAAAGAACTGGTCAATGTCCATCCATTCAGGAGGTGGCATATGATCAAGAACCAATGGTACTGAAGGAAAACGTCAAAGCTGCACTGAAGGGACTGGTGAAAAACAAGGCTCCAGGAACTGAAGGAATACCCATTGAGATGTTTCAACAAACAGATGCTATGCTGGAGAGACTTACTCGCCTATGCCAAGAAATATGGAAGACAGCTACCTGGGCAATTGACTGGAAGAGATCCATATTTGTATCCATTCCAAAGAAAGGTGATCCAACAGAATGTGGAAATTATCAAACAATAGCATTAATATCACATGCAAGTAAAATTTTGCCGAAGATAATTTAAAAACAGTTGCAGCAGTGTATTGACAGGGAACTTCCAGAAATGCAAGCTGGACTGAGAAGAGGACACAGAACAAGGGATATCACTGCTGATGTCACATGGATCTTGGCTGAATGCAAAAAATATCAGAAAGATGTTTACTTATGTCTAACTGACTATGCAAAAGCATTCGATTGTGTGGATCACAACAAATTATGGATAACATTAAGAAGAATGGAAATTCCAGAACACTTAATTGTGCTCAAGGGAACCTGTACATAGACCAGGAGGCTGTCGTTCAAACAGAACAAGGGGACACTACATGGTTTAAAATCAGAAAGGGTGTGCGTCAGGGTTGTGTCCTTTCACCATATTGATTCAATCTGTATGCTGAGCAAATAATCTGAGAAGCTGGACTATATGAAGAAGAACGCAGCATCAGGATTGGAGGAAGACTCATTAACCAGCTGCAATATGCAGATGACACAACCTTGCTTGCTGAAAGTGAAGATGACTTAAAGCACTTACTAATGAAGATTAAAGACTACGTGGATTACACACCTCAACATAAAGAAAACGAAAATCTTCACAACTAGACCAATAAGCAGCATCATGATAAATGAAGAAATAAGACTGAAGTTGTCAAAGATTTCATATTATTTGGTTCCACAATCAACACCAATGGAAGCAGCGGTCAAGAAATCAGATGTCATATAGCACTGAGAATCTGCTGCAAAAGACCTCTTTAAAGTGCTGAAGAGCAAAGATGTCACTTTAAAGACTAAGGTATGCCTAACCCAAACCATTAGGAGCTCTGGTAGCATAGTTCCTAATGCACTTGACTGCTCACCAGAAGGCTGGCGGTTCAAACCCACCAGCCACTCCTCGGAAGGAAGGTTGGGCAATCCTACTTCCGTAGT